CATTTTTTGTTTTTAATTTTAAGACATGGTCTAACTGCTAAGTTGTAGAGCTGGGCTCAAACTTGCAGTCTTTCTACTTCACCCTCCCAGGGTACTGGGATTATAGGCATGTGCCACCACGCCTGGCTTCTAATCCTTTTTGTGCCTTAAAGAACTTAAAAGTAAAACAAACTAAGAAGTTATAGAATGGAAGAGGGATTGATGGTTGGAAAAGTAGATTCAGAGATAATGAAATGAATCAATCACAGGCATTAAACTGTAACACGGAAAAAATTTAAAGAAATGTTTGTTCAGGGAAAAATACTGAAAGGATTATTTTTGCAGGACATAGATCATTTACACTTTTATACATGCATCCCTAGATTACTGTTATAAAACACTGCTTATTGTTCCAATTATTTACCTTTTTCATGTAGCTGTCATTGGGTAACCTTTTTAAGTATCAATTTCTTTGTTTTTAGAAAAATAATCCTACTGGGCCGGGGATTTAGCTCAGTGGTAACATGCCTGCCTTGTAAGCGCAAGGTCCTAAATTCAATCCCTGGTACCACACAAAAAATAAATAAATAAATAAAAATCCTACAATCTAGTTTCTAATCTTTCAAATACCTGGGAATCATTTTCTCATGTAATGAAAAAACTAGGAAAATATTTCTAAGGAGAAATTTAAAAACTGGAGAATATTCTACTGCTGTATTCAGATTGCTGCTAAGTTGATTTTTTCTTTTTTGGTACTAGGGATTGAACAGAACCTTGTGCTTATGAGGCAGGCATGGTGCCACTGAGTTAAATCCCTGGCCCATAAGTTGATTCTTTTTTTTTTTTTTTTTGGTACCAGGGATAGAACTCAGGACCTTGTGCTTGCAAGGCAGGTGCCAGAACAACTGAGCTAAATCCCCAGCCCTATAAGTTGATTCTTTTACAGTTGTTCAATAATAAAATACTTGTGACCACTGAAACTATTTTTTTCAGATACTAACTTAGCTCAAGTCTTTCTCCAATGTAGTTAATATTCCTTTATTCCAGTTTTTCCCATGATGGAACAGAAGGACCAGATTGTTCAATCTAATGGAACAATGTAAAAGCTAAGTGCAAAACTCTATTTCTTGCTTGAGTTCATTAACTCCAATATTAATACATACAAGAAATTATAAATGGGCTGGGGATTTAGCTCAGTGGTTTCGCCACCTGCTGTGCAAGCGCAAGGACCTGAGTTCGATCCCCAGTACAAAAAAAAAAAAGAAAAAAGAAATTATAAACAAAACTTTATATCAACCAGATTAACTTTTTATACTTATAGAAGTTTTTAGAGTTGCCCACAAATTTGACAAATATCACCCACAAAAAATAATTTTTGCTTCAGCCGGGCTTAGTCCTTACTACCTTATAAATACCTAATCATAAGCCTATGCTGGTATATTTAGTCAATTAACTTCCAGTCTTATTTCTATTCATGTTTAGAGATTCAAGGAAATGCCACTACTCTATGTTCTTAACCTAGACACTCTCTCTCCCACTCTCTCTCCCTCTCTCTCTCTCTCTCTCTCTCTCTCTCTGTTAGGTCTATTTCTTTAAAATTTGAATATAATTATGATCTAGAAAAGTTACTTTAACAGATTTTTTTTGGATGGTGGTGGTATTAGGAATTGAACCCAGAGCCATAGCACTGAGCTACATCTCCAGCCCATTTTATTTTATTTTGAGGCAAGGTCTCATTAAGTTGCCTAGATGGGATTTGAATTTACAATCTTCTTGTCTTATCTCCACAAGTGCTGGAGCATGTGCCACAGCTCCCAGCTTTAACAAATCTTTTAACAGTCTTGCACTTTGTCATAAATATTTCATGAAAAATGCAGACTTCATAATAATCCTTCTTTACAGAAAAGAATGCTTTATTTCCTATCTTCTTTTAATGCTTCTAAATTTACATTACTGTGTATCACAGATAGGTGCCGTTCAAGGCCAGCATAGGCAATTTAGCAAGACTCAAAATTAAAAAAAGGGATGTGGATCTAGCTCTGGGGTAGAGTGCTTCTCTATCATGCTTCAGTTCCTGGGTTTAATCCTAAAAAAGAATTACATGATATATACAAAAATTGTGTGTGTTTGTAGTATTATCAATACTATGTATTACTTTAATATGGAGTAATACCAATAGGTAGCACAGGAATTCAGAAAAATGAGAAGATATGTGACTTATTCAAGGAATAGTTCATGGAAAAGAAACCTGAGATCTGACTTAAAAAGAAATGTAGTATATGGGCAGTAGAACATAACACAATGAAAATTACTTATGTTATATGTCAAACCTTCCATTTGTGGAGAAAATTTGGAAGACTAGAAGGTAATGCCTGAGAATGCTAGAAAAAGAAAATAAAGAGGAAATTAGCAAGGATTTTCTACAAGAGAAAGCTGAAAAGTTTAGGTAAGGAATTATTGTGGTAGTTTTAAAAAAGAGAGATTTCAATTTCAACAATAATGTATTCTGTTGGAAAGAAACTATAAATTGAATGAATTAGGATAAAATTTATAAGAAAGCCAAACTGTACTTATAACAATGAAGAGATGAAGTAAGAGTTTTCCTAAAAATAGAAATTTCATTTGACCCAGTTATTCCCCTTCTAAGTATCTTCCCCAAAGAGTTAAAGACATCGTATTATAGGGATACATGCATATCCATGTTTAAAACAGCACAATTTATAATAGCTAAATCTTGGAAATAGCCCAGACTATATGCTCATCACGAGACAGTGGATAAAGAAAATGTGGTATTTGTATACAATGGTGTACTACTCTGCTATAAAGAAAGGCATGTGTAGGTAAATTGATGCAACTTAAGACCATAAAATTAAGTGCAATAAGAAACAGAAGCTTAAATATCTCATGATTTCTCTTATATGAGAAACTTAAGAGCAAAACAGTAGATACATAAGAAGTAGGGAGATCTTCACATGGCTGGGGGGAACAAGAGCCCAATGGAGGGAGAGGATAAGGAGCAGAAAGAAAGGCAATGGAAAAGAAAAGAATTGAAGGTGGGGGGAAATGAAGAAAATAGAGATTTTGCAAATGGGAAAGGGAACAAGAGTTGGAAAGAAAAGAGAAGAGAAGGAAGAGAAAAGAAAGGTAGGGGATAGAAAAAAGAGTGAGAAATAGAAAATGTATTATGTATATGTACCAACTCCCCATGATAATAGTAATCATTATGTACTACAAATGTGTACTAATAAAAAGAAAGAAAGAAATAAGAGTTTTCACTTTGTTTATCAGTAGGGAATGAGACTATACCAGAATGGCAAAGTATTTCAAAGGCTGATAAATATAATTATAAATAGATCCACAAGAAATAATGACAGTGACAGAAGATTCAGGCTGAAATCACTGCAGGAACAACATAATTTAGAAATAGACAATTGGAAAGAATTTTAAAGCTGAGAAAGCTGAGAAATTTTCATTTTGACATACTATCACAAAATACATAAGAGGACAGATGGTACTTCTGAGGAACTACAGTGGAGGTGGGAGAAGTGTGCTGACTACATTGATATTAATCATCTACATCAAGCAGAGATTAAAGTCTTAAGAATGGATGGGGTTATAATTTATTGGTTGATCCCCTGGAGATAAATTAAGAGAATTAAGACTAAGAGTACAAGCTAGGTGTGGTGGCACATGCCTGCAATCCCAGCACTGGGGAGGTTAAGGCAGGAGAATCACTGAAGTTCAAGGCCAGCCCAGGCTACATGGTGAGTTCAGGGCTAGCCTGAACTGCATAGTGAGACCCTGTCAGCCCCCGCCCCCCAAAAAAAAAAACCCACAAAAAACAACTAAGAGTACAGTGCAAGAATATTTTTTAAAAATGTACATTATTTTGGTTAGGCAGTATTCAGGCAATAGGGCCACAGTGGTGAAAAAAGACCAAGTTGTTAATAACCACTCAGGGAATTAGGATTAGTTAGTGTTGTTTTCCCAAACCAAGTGTTGATTTTAGGATGATCAGCACTAAAAATGAACCACAAAGGCTTAAATGGGGAAAAAATGCTGTCTGTGGCATCAACCTGGGCCAAGACAAGTGAGGTTTTGGGTTTTTTTTGTACTGGGGATAGAACTCAGGACCTTGAGCTTGTGAGGCAGGTGTGGTGCCACTGAGCTAAGTCCCTGGCCTAGACAAGTGAGTTGAAAAATTCACAGGTATTTTTTTTTTTTAAGCAGCACTGGGGATTGAATCCAGGGCCTTCCCAGCCTTTTTTATTTTTTATTTTGAAAAGCGGTCTCACTAGGTTGCCCAGGCTGGGCTTGAACTTGCAATCTTACTGGCTCAATGTCCCACAGTGTTGAGCTTACAAATAGTTAATAGGTAGATCTATAGTGAGAATGGGAATTTAGACTTAGTGCACCAAAAAAATCTGAGGTATTATGAAGAAAAGTAAGGAAAGAAAACAGTAAATAGGGAAAACACCAATCAAGAATTTTTCTCTTTTTAAAGCATAGATGTAAAGAATCCCTGATAGAAATCACAATGGACTGAGAATGCTAGAAAAAGGACATAAATCAAGAAAAAGAGATCTGAAAGAAATGGGAAATATCTTTGGTAACACGAAGCAAACTACAAAAGACTGAATTTAAAGAGAGTAACTATTTAGAAGTCTGTTATTTTATTGGTTTTTTTTTGGTATTGGGGATTGAACTTGGTCCTTGCACTTGTTGGCCAGGTGGTGGAACCACTGAGTTAAATCCCGGGCCTTACTGTTGTTTTTTTTTTGGTACCAGGGATCGAACTTAGGACCTTGCACTTGCGAGACAGGCAGCAGAACCACTGAGCTAAATCCCCGGCCCTGTTGTTGTTTTTTAAAGAAAGGAATCTTGCTATATTCCCCAGACTGGCCTCAAATTGCTGGCCTCTTAAAAATATTCCTAAAACATTTCAAATGTACTACCTACCACCTGATTCCTTTAAGATTTACTTTCCACTAGTTTTCACCTATCTGAAGTCAAAAACTCACTTAAGCAGGCACGATTTGCAAATGATGTCCATGGCTCTTCTCCTCGTTCCAATTTGAGGATCACATCAGGTTTGGTCATATCACACCCTGATAAGGGAAAAGAAGACTTAAATTGGTTGAGCTTCAATACCTTGGAAAGATGAGTAAGGGAGAGGGGAGGGTGGGGAGGAGAAGGGGAAGTAAAAAGAATTAAGATATATTATGTACATGTACCAACTCCTCATGATTAACGAAATCATGATGTACTAATAAAAATAAAAAAAATAAAGATAAGTAAGGTGTATGTATGTTCCGTACTGCAAAATAAGATTCTCGTATTTGCTACATTAAACTTAGCACCTTGTACTAGGCAAGAGAAGACAGTCACTTTTCTGCTAACCAAAAGCTATTTATCACCTTTTATCCTTGAAATTCAAGATGAAACATACTTTAGACACTTTGAGAGCATGTTTCAGTTTTCCTTACCCACAGAGATGAGGTGGTAATAGTTTTCCAACATCACATCCATGTACAGAGTCTTCTGAGCAGAATCTAGGTGCTGCCATTCCTCCCAACTAAAGTCCACAGTCACATCTTTGAATGATACTGATCCCTGCAATGGATTGGGACTGTGGTCAAACCAGGCTGACTAGACACTGAGGATGACTTTTGACTCTGCTTCTCTGCGGCCTTCATATAAAAAAAATGTACAAAAAAACCTATCACTTTCCCTGTTTTGTTATTCATATTATAGGGGAATCAATAATGCAAGGTAGAAATACCTGCTGCTGATTATTTATTTGAGACATGGTCTCGCTATACAGTTTAGGCTGGCCTTGGACTCACTATGTAGTCCAGGCTGGCCTCCAAATTACAGCGATCCTGCCTCAGCCTTTCAAGTGCTGGTACTACAGGCACATGCCACCATGCCTGGCCTGGATTTTTTTTTTGGTACTGGGGATCGAACTTAGGACCTTGTGCTTTCGAGGCAGGTGCAGAGCACTGAGCTAAATTCCAGGCCCCTGGCCTGAATTTTTAAAATGTACTCTAAAAATATTTACTGTGAAGTCACTTGATGTCCCACACCTATACTGGTTTACAGGGAGACAAAAAAAAAAATACTGTTCTTGCTCAAGAGAAGTACAGCCTCATACAGAGGTGTGTAACACATGAAAACAATACATGAAGCCACAAACCTGCAAGGTGTTACAGGTACAACAGAGACCTATATATAAGACACAGTGTATCAAAAAGATAAAACAATGTCTTAAGCATCACTCTGGAGGTAAAATTATTTCCCCCTTCAAAATAAATGTTTTATGCAGGAAGAAATGGTTCTAAAATGCATGATGGCATTTTCAGCATCTAGTAATGAGTAATTGCTCAGGAAAACTAAGGACACAGCTCAGTGGTAGAGTGTTTGCCTAGCATGTGCAGGGCCATGGGTTCAAAACACACACACAAAATTAATCTGTCTTTGATAACAGTTATAAAATCTAGATATTATATAATGAATAAAGGAAGTCTCTGGAAAAAAATCAGCAGGGAAAAATTGGACAGCTTTATCTTCAAAGAAAACAATTGCAATGGGAAAAAGCTATTAGTTTTGTGGCTTTTTGTTTGACAGTATCTGAAGGTGTGCAGCTCTCAAGGCAGAAAGCCACACATTATTTTCTCAAAGGTGACCAAGGAAAGAATTTAGAGTTAACAGATGGGCTGGAAACTTAGGTTAATTTTTTTTTTTTGAGACAGGGTCTCGCTATGTAGTTCAGGCTGGTCTTGAACTCACTATGTCACCTAGGCTGGTATAGAACTCTCACCAATCCTCCTGCCTCAGCCTCCCAAGTGCTGAGGTTACAGGCATGTGCCACCACACCTAGCATTTAGGTTAATTCCAGAAGTAAAAGAACTATATAAAGATGAGACTCAACATCTGAGTATAAACTGCCAACCCCCTGCCTAACAACTAAGCTATGCATGTATTAGAGAAATCACAGTGAGTTGAGCAGAAAACAGATGACAGAAAGAAACAAGAAAATACTTTTAAACAGAAGTATACCTAGTGAGACTCTAAAACTTCTGCTTTTTGACTAGTGACATTCCATAACCTGCTCATAGAGCAAGCAGAAGAAAACTGAAGCTTTACTGGATTGAGGCATTAGTACTTAGAGGTGACAAAGCAACAAAAGGTACTGCATAGGGATGAAACCCTAGAAGCAAGAGAATACACAAAGTAAGCCCCCAGGCCTGGCATGGTGTGCATGCCTGTAATCCCAGCACTTTGGAGGGTCGGAGGGTCGGAGGGTAAGATAGGAGGATCTCTGAGTTCAAGGCCAGCCTGGGCTAAAAGTGAGTTCAAGGACAGTCTGAACTACATAGCAAGAGCCTGTGTCAAAAAGCAAATAAATAAATAAGTAAATGAATAATGCCAGCCCCCAAATCTAAGTACAAAGACTCACTAACTCCTTGATTGAAAGTTAAAGTATATGAAAATAAGGTTGAACATACATGCCCTCAGAAAACTAGGGTAAAAAACAGCCGATGGAAGCTTAAAGAACCATCAGAGGTGCTGGTATGGTGTCGAATGTCTGTAATCCTAGCACTCTGGGAGGCGGAGGTAGGAGGATCACAAGTTTGAAAATGATGGTGAATTCCCCCCCCCCCC